CCCTGAGCAAATTGTGCAGCGAGTGGGTCCATCGTTTGCTGAAGCCAAAAGTAATCCTCTCGTACATAGCGCTTTCTAGCATCGTTACGTGGGTATCTGGAAATATTTCTTGGTGTTAGATAGTCTATTTCGCTGTTCAGGTTGTAATTTACAGGGCCTAAGTACTCTGATTTAGATTGTCTTGAGAGCTGTATGCACTGGGTCTTGCTTAGTCGCATGTATATTAACTCATTTCGTGCGTGTATGCAGAATGACCATGAGCCAGTCTATTCGTTTTGTGGTTGGGGTCTTACACAACTACTACAGGGGTTCGGAAACAAATTCCCTTTCATGTGGTACCTAGTGGTGTCCCTTCTGGTCGTCCATATGTTGCTATTATTCATTGCGGGTCCCGTTCTCAAGTTATATGTGCCTCTAAAAATATCACGATCTCGGCTATTACGGCAATCGTTCTGCCGTTTGTTCAGTTTGGCGCCTCATGCGTGTCTGCTAGCGCGTAGTCTTGTGTGGATAAAGTTATACTTACTGTTAGCTCTGTTGTCCACACTTAGTTCGGAGAAGAGCACTTCTACTCACGTGTTCCGTCTCCTTTATGGGACCTGCCACAGTGCATACATAATTCTTTTCTAGGTTTGCATACAGTTTGTTGGGCTTATCGAAAGGGAGGTATATGGACGCCTATGGAGAGACCTTGGGTTTTCGGGACTTTCTCCCGGTATTTACTGAGATTAACTTGCTTGGCCGTGAATGCAGTGTGGTCTGCCGATATCTGCAGGCCATTGGTGGTGGGACCTTCTGTCGAGACTCAAAAGGAAACGCTCTCCAGATGATCAGTGAGATTTCCAGAACACCTTCATACTTATTATAAAACCAACGAATGTGAGAAATGAAATAGGAAAACTCAAACAGAAACTCAAATGTATGATAAGTGATAGAGGTTATGAAATTGTGATTGAAACATCCAATAAAGCTAGAGAAGCAACCTTAAAGAAATCGGAAACCACGCAAATTAAGGAATTCAACAAATTATTAGAAGAAAACACAGTACGATAAATTCAGAAAGTACCAACAATATTTGATCTTCTATTGACAAAATAAAGCTAGTGATCAACCTGTTATCAAGAGAAATAAGCTCTATCGACACAAAACTATTTGTAAAATGATTAAATTTCAACTTGACGGTTAGTAAATTATAACCGGAAAATGTCACCTCTAACATAGAAGTAGCATTAAGTTGAGTAGATAAGACGACAGCAGAAGAGGTTCGAACACAGTGTGCATTAACTCTAAAGAAACAGAAGAAGGCATAGTCAAACTTAACAAAATTGGAAAGATTAGCTCTAACTAATCTTGAAAAGGATAAAGACATGGCCATCACAAGAGCTAATAAAGAAAACTCTACAGTTTTTTTGGATAAATCTGACAATATAAAGAAAGTCATTGAATAAATTGAAACGGGTCCATATGAGGAAATTAAAAATTCTGTATATACAGTAATAAATGAGATTAAGGAATCTACAGTGGACTTAATACGCAGTATGAAGCTGTCACTGGGTCAGTCTAAGTAGCTTAATTTAATGTCTAATGGAACGCTAGTAGAATATATGGTACTATAAAAATACATAAACCAGGTTACCCCATAAAACCAGTAGTAGATTTAAGAAATACGCCGATTTATGAATTATCAAAACAGAGCCCTAATACTATGCCCCATTGGAAATCATTCAAACTCTAGGCTAACTAATTCATATGGGATGAAAAAGAAACTAAATGACATTCAACTAGCGAATGATTAAACGATGGTTAGTTTTGACAAAACTAGTCTTTATATTAGTATACCAATCAATATGGCCTTAGAAGCAGTTAAAAGAGAACTAACTGCAGATCCTGAACTTACTCATAGGGCAAAGATGCCCAGTGAGGAAATTATTTTAGGGATTCTACTATCTTTAAATTCCGAGGAAAAATATATGGACAAACAGAAGGTGTGGCAATGGGATCACCAATATCCCCTATCGTAGCAGATCTCTGTATGGTCAGCTGGAAAAATATCGCTCTCAATATATTTATCCCTTTTCCAAAAATATTATGAAAATATGTGCATGACACTTTCCAGCGTTAAAACAGAACACATCCCTAGCTTCTTGATACATATATTCGCTAGTAAAGGGAATAAAATTCAGCAATAATGCAGGTTTTATTTCGAGCATAGTCTCGACTTCTCCCAGGAGAACCCCATAACCCTTGCAGTAATGTCCCCACTAGTCCTTCTATCCATTCATTTCTCAATAAGCTATTACAAAGCTACGCATAACTCTGAAGTGGCTGAAGGCTTATGGGGACAATCTTCGCCTATTTTTTGGATACACACTAAGATTTCTCGGCCTGTCTTTGGAAGTGGATTTTGGGTCGGGGTGGCACATATGCCCTATTTATCTGTGAACACTTCAAATATATATGCACACCGAACTATGTGTCCAAAAGGCTGTAGCAGTTGTTTCCAAACTTAGATATTCCTTGATGTTGCCAAAAAAGAAACTTCCAATGATTTCGACACCATTTTCAGAGGCACCACTCACTAATGGTGGCTGGGTTTTTCATTATCACTGAACTTTTTTAAAGTTGTCAGTGATAGCAGTAGTCTTATACTGACCCCCTCCATAATTCAAAGGTTTCAGCAACAGGTTTTCCATTGAGAAGTACTTGGCAGGTGAAATCCTCACGAAGACTCTAAATGAGGCTCATTAAGATTTGCGGTTCTCTATGCTGTTATTTCCAAACAGTTTTCGAATTGCTTTCCAGCCAACGACATCTAGGGCTTTTTCGAAACCAATTATGTTAGGGTAGAGAGTCAACTGCAACAAGAGACATTGTTCGATGATGATACGTAGTGTTGCGATTTGGTTCGTGCATGAAATCCATATTCACCATTCGGTCTTTTCAAGGTGAACTTTCCATCCAAAAGCTTTTAGTCTCATCAGGATGACAAAACGTATAGTTTTGGATGTGATGGAAAGGAGAATGATAACGTTGCAGTTCTTGCATACGTGTGAGTTACGCTTCCTTGGTAGCCCGACAAGTAAGCCTCCCTTAAAATCTGCAGGTGACTACCTTCACTTCCAACCACATCTTTTGAAATAGTGGTGAGATCATGTATGTTAGAAGGGAAAAGGAGTTTTTAGTATTTGATTTAGGCAATGTTGAATAGAACCATGTAGTCCTAATGATTTCTCAGCCATCAATATCGTTTTTGCCTTGAGAACTTCTGTATCTGTCAGGGCGTTGATACTCGTGTGTGTAGGTTTGAATGTCACCCTGATTCTTGCCGCACTAAGAAGCTTAAGTAGGCTTTCGGATGCCTCTCCTATGCGGTAAAACTGTAGATGTCCTGTATTCTCTCGCATTTATATTGCCATCATCAGCTTCCCCATTATTTTTATTTTGCTTTTGACCTTTTCCGATCTTCCTAATGAGTTGTATAGGATAGTAATTTAACACCAACGCTTTTTCTATCTGTTTCACTTCATCATTTAGGTCTTTCGTTGTACTGTAACAACAGAAGACAAGGGCCAGGCAACTGATCGTTTGTTAAAGAAAATCAGCACATATTTATAGATTTTAATGTACATTATTGTAGATTATTGTAAGTAGAAAGTACAGTCTTTTGATTGATTGTTTCTCACAGAAAGTTAACCTTGCATTTCTTGGTGGCTGTGTCAGACCATCTATATTCTAAATGTATCCGCCTACGCAAAGACTTTGTTCTCATTTTCTCACCATCAAAATTGGGGACATGAACATTGACGTCAATTACTGTCTACCAACTTTGGCTAGCAGCCAGCTCTCACCACAGTACTACCTAATGCTACTGCTCGGTTTGTTAGACATTTCACTAAGCTTGCCCTAACAGTTAACTAATGGGATGAAATGATACAATTGACATCAGAATTATCACTCAACTAGTTTGTATTAACCAGGGTAGTGTTTTTACATCACAATATCCTTATGATGTAATGAAACACTTCAGTGGTATAGAGTGAACACCAGTGACACTGTGAACTATTTCATCTATTGATTAGCTTTTCTCCTTAAATTATTGATAACGATAATCAAGGACTCCATAGACTGGTAACATTCTTAATTTAATGAACTGTGGCTTTAATTGGACTTGTAGCTTTGCCGTACGTCAGATTTCTAAATTTCACCTAATTATTGTTATCCTCATTTTCATAAGAGTTTCAGTGAGTATTTCATCACTGGTAAAGAGTTCGAACTAGTAAGAATCAGGGATTATTTATTCCACGGCCAACCTACACCTCCCATCCCACCAAACATGTAACTTCACTTATTGAGCATAGTTATAATAACTAATCGTTTATAAGTCAAATGACAATCCAAATATAATTTCAATTGGTATAGAGACAGCTTATTTCGTCTCAATGTTGTCCAAAAATGAACTCTATGACTTTGCGACTTTCTTATAGTCTGTTGTGTGCACATAAATTATGATGGTGATATCTGTGATCTTGTAGCAAGATTTCATTTCACAAACTTATTGGATTATGTCTCATTTTGGCTGTGGAAATGTGAATGATGATATAATCCTTGTGAACTTTCATTTTCCAAATTCACTCTGTTCGTGTATTTTGTTTCCCGAAAAATTGGCTAGTATTCTTATTCTCTGAATAAATAGTTTTGTGTGCATAAATTCGCTTTCTACAGAAACTCAGTTTTCATGAAAGTGTTTGCAGTAATGAATTTGATAGATTCTTCAAACTTGCGAGTTGATTGATGCAATCTTCAGACCCTAATTGGTGTATCACCATTCGTTTGCCTAAACTATTTTGATAATAGTATTTTGCTGAAGCGATTCAATTTCCTATGTCAAACTTCCACTTTGCCTTTCGTTTTCTCTGGCATCTAATACAAACTCAACGAGAAGTGAGGAAGCTAGGAGTGATGAAAATACTCAGTCATCGAATGCTCAACGACCAACAAGTATGGAACCAGAATGCATATCTCCTCTTACAGTCGCTGCGGCTTTAGCTGCAGCCTCTGATATTGCTGCAGGTGGATCAGGTTTATTGGAGTCAGTGTCAGCGCTGGGTGAAAATGGTAACAAGTTAGAAGAACGTGTTGTCCCAGAATCATACAATATGACTGAATCAATTTCGTCACATGGTGGTTATTTAGGATCTGCGATTGAAAGTGAAGGGACAACTGATACTTATGATTTAGAAAACCTATCAAAATGGGTGCCGGATAATCACTATAGGCGATTGATGGAGATGAATGACACTCCACGGGATCCTATTGAGTGGAATTCAACACGGGTAGATGCATAACATGAAGAATGCATCTACCCATGGCAGAGCGATTCAAAAAAAGGATGACGTACAATGATCTACGAAATATAAGAGCTACTGTAGTTGAAGGTGAAACTTTGATTTACAAGAATAACCTTTCAGATTGTGATTTACGTTCAGTGTTTTTTTCTAGATTACATGAAGCTGGGAAATTGGTTGTAATTCGGGATGAAAACGATGGAAGGACAAAAATGGCTTGTTTTAATTCAAATAGGCAAATCGAAATTTACCACAAATTCTCTGATGTCGTGGGTTTCGATTCCACCTACAAAACTAATAGAGGAAAGTAGGTGTAAATGTTTTCTACATCAAATATTTGAAGTTATAAACTGTTTCAATTTGTTGTTACAGACTCTCATGGAGAAGGTCTACCGGTTATGTTTGCATGGAGTAGGCTAGAAAGACTAGATGATGTAAAGACGATATTGGATAAATTTAAATGTATAATGGGTACAACTTCTAATACAGAAACGTTTGTTATGGATTGTGTGTGTTATTGTATAGAAGCAGACACGAAATTCCACGAATGACTAAAGTAACAGTCTCAAAATATTATGGTAAATGTCCATTCCGCTAACTAAGCTTAACATGCATTAATCCGAATTCACATAGTACATGTATGTACGGTAAGCTCCTCTCGAAACTGAACACAGTCACAGATCTCGGGATAACATACTGAGATCTCATCTTTTCTGATCATGCAAATAAGGTTGTATCTGACTATAAACGACTTAATGGCTTTGTACTGCGGAACTGGTACACTCAAGAAGCAAGATTAGCTATATACGGAACATGTATCCGCCCCAAACTTGAATATTGTGCTCTCCTGTTTAGTAGCCTAAGGTCTGTAGACCGAAAAATAATCGAAAGTGTTCAGAGATTCCTAAAAATATCCTCAGGCATCGATGTATCTGGTGACCTAATGGGAAGCGCTTGTCATGAAAGCTATTAATGTGCAGCATACTGTGTGATTGGGACGTGCTTAAAGCAATGCAATACTGCAACCACAGTTTGCAGAAATTCGTTAGGCATCCTACATGCCAGCTTGTTCTACGGCTTCTAATCTTCCAGATTTTTCTAATTCACTCCTCACTGAAATATCAATTACCTACCTCACAAGAATCTTTTTGTCTACGCACTGTTATACTGTATGTTAACTACCTATGCCCCGGCCGATAACTGCTACCTTGCCGTGGTGGTCGGGCTTGAATGCCGCAGTGACCCAGCAAGCTAAACTGGCTGGGACTCATGTCCCTGCAGGTCCTACCATGCCAGGAAGGTTATTTGGATAGCGGTCAGACTAAAAGCAGTTACCATGGGGTACATGGGCTCCAGAATCCAATCAAACCAAATGGCGTACGAACCCATATGGGTCACTGGCAACCATGGGAACGCAGCACCTGACGCTGCTCCGCTGCCTTGAGGATTAGACTCCAAGTCAAAGGCTCTGGGGGTGGTCCCTTAAGGAAACCACCTGCTTCGGTCTGGGCGCCCGGGCAGTATCTCAGCCCTCACACAATAAATTAAATGAAGCGACAAACTATTACTGAAACTCACCGCGTGCTCGTAAAAATGATTCCAAGAAATAATGATACATCAAGCAACTTATGCCCTTCCAACCTTACTTTTATTTTTATACTTAGTCTCCTGTATTTTACCTTTGCTCACCTTGACTTCTTAACCTTCGACAGCCTTTCGCCTTTGTTTGGATTCCTAGCCTATCTGTGTCGTTTCGAGATGTTAGTGAGTAACCCTCAGAATGGCTGTCCCCAATGTGACATCTAACACAGATATCCTGAAACCGCGTGCCGCGTTCAAGCTGGCCACCTACAATGTTCGGACGCTGATGCAAATTGTACAACAGGCAGGGTCGGTAAGAACGTTGGAAAGCCTCGCTATCGATGTCTGCTGCATTTCGGAGACTCGCATTCAAGACCCCAGTGAAGTGCTTCGATTATCCTCTCCATCTGGAAGTTCTAGTAGTATGTACCACCTGCGCTTGTCCGGGGACCCTGTGGCGTCGGCATCCGGCGTAGCTGGTGTCGGCGTCGCACTGAGCGCTAGAGCCGAAGCTGCACTGCTCGACTGGATTCCCATTAACAGTCGTTTATGTGCTGTGAGGCTGGAAGGTTATACGAAAGTAAGGAGTGGTAGGCCAGATAGGCGATGTCTATTTGTTGTCTCTGCCTATGCACCAACAGATTGCAGCCCGGATGCAATGAAGGACGAGTTCTACCACCAACTTAGCGATCCCTTGAGACATGCGGGTCGGAGGGATATCGTAGTGCTGGCTGGGGACTTGAATGCAAAGGTCGGGCGTTTGAGCTCAGAGGACAATCGTCTAGGTGGTCAATGGGGACTACATGGTCGCAGGTCAGATAATGGGGACCGTCTTCTGCAGCTTTGCGCGGATCACAACCTATTTCTGGCCAGCACCAACTTCCGGCACAACGATCGCCGTAGCGCTACCTGGCGTCCTCCCTCTGCGAACTAAGCTTGGACTCAGATCGATCACATTGCTGTCAGTTTCCGGTGGCGAGGATGCATACAAGACTGTCGCTCCTTCTGGAGCACATGCCTGGACTCCGATCGTGCGTTAGTGTGTACCAAGTTCGTCTTGCGATTTGGTGGGGTTCATAAAAGGCGTCGTCTAAACGTTGATGTGAGCAAACTAGTAGCACCTGCTACTTGTTTGAAATATCAGAATGCGTTACAATCAATGCTTGCCAGCAACCCCCCAAGTAGTATAGATGAACACTGGCTCCATCTGCAAGGTGCCATGCAAAGAGCTAGTGTAGCCGCTTGCGGCTTGAAAGAATGCTCCGCCAAAAACCACTGGGTTTCTGCGAGTTCCTTGCAACTTCTGGATGAACGCCGATCCATTCCGGCTGGCAGCGAATACAGCAATAAGCGAAAGGCGCTGACGCGCAAGATAAGAAAGTGTTTACGTAAGGACCGCGAGGCCTGGTGGTCAGGACGTGCGGGTGAGATGGAGTCAGCTGCTGCATCTGGCAACAGTCGGAAGCTGTTCCAACTCATACGAGCCACCGGCAGCAAGAAACAAGGTGTCAGCGAGACGGTCTGTGAGGCAGATGGCACGCCAATTACCAGTTTGAAAAGACGCCTGGAACGCTGGGCAGAGCACTTCGGGAAACAGTTTAGCTGGCCACCAGATTCAATGTCTGCTGTCATTAGCCCCAGTGCTCCTTGGTCGGTTAAAACCGACCCACCCACCGAAGCGGAGGTCCGTAAGGAACTCCAAGTTCTGAAACGCCATAAGGCGCCCGGCCCAGACAAATTACCCCCGGCTCTTTTTAAAGATGGTGGCGAGACTCTCATAATGGCTCTAACTGGGTTGTTCAGGAGGGTGTGGGAGACAGAGAGCGTACCATCAATGTGGAACGAAGCCATCATCGTCCCTATCTTTAAAAAGGGTCGACGTAATTCGTGTGACAATCATAGGGGTATCAGTCTGCTACCAGTCGCGTCTAAATTATTGGCTTCTGTCTTGCTTCGCAGGCTGTGCGAAATACGTGAAGGATTGATTCGCGAAGAGCAGGCTGGGTTTCGTTCAGGTCGTGGATGCATTGACCATGTGTTCACCCTTCGTCAGTTGTTGGAACACCACCACACGTATTGCAGGCCAACGATCGTTGTGTTTCTTGATATTAGGGCTGCCTTCGATTCGTTGGACAGAACTGTGCTCTGGAACTGTCTGTTAGAGAGAGGTGTACCTGAGAAATTTGTTAACATCTTGAAAGCCCTATACAGAAACACCTCAGGTAGAGTGAGGGCATACAACCAACTATCACCACTGTTCCCAACCAACAGTGGGGTTAGACAGTGTTGCCCAATCTCTCGATTTCTCTTTAACTTTGCCATCGATGACATTCTGGAGTCAGCTCTGAAGGATGTGCGTGAAGGTGGTGTAGATCTGCTACCTGGAGATAGACTTTTCGACCTCGAGTATGCAGACGATATCGTCTTACTGTGCGATAGCATGCAGGCTGCCCAAATCGCACTTAATCAGTTGGCGATCAGTGTCTGTAAGTATGGTATGTGCTTTGCACCGTCTAAGTGCAAAGTACTGTTACAAGATTGGCAGGAGCCTGTACCTGCACTCACTCTTGCGGGTGAACCGCTTGAAGTTGTTGATAAGTTTGTGTACCTGAGTAGTTGTGTGAGTGCTGGCGGAGGGGTGACGGATGAGATTTCCAACCGTATAATGAAGGCTAGGGTGGCATACATCAACTTGTGCCACCTCTGGCGCCGTCGCGACGTTAGCCTGGCTGTCAAAGGTCGGGTATGCAATGCTTCGGTGCGGGCTGTCTTGCTCTACGCCTGTGAAACCTGGCCTCTCCGAGCTGACGATGTGCGGCGACTCTGCGTGTTCGATCATCGCTGTCTCCGCAGGATTGCTTGCCTTCGATGGCATCATCGTGTGAGTAATTCTGAGGTTCGGCGGCGTGTGTTTGAACACAAAGGAGATCACCATTCATTGAGTGTCGTCATCTGGAAACACCGGTTTCGGTGGCTTGGACATGTGCTGCGAATGTCATCTCAGGGGCTTCCGTACAGGTCTCTGTTTGCTAGCCGTGGGACGGGATGGAAAAGACGGAGAGGTGGACAGTCCTTGACGTGGCGTCGTGGGATGAAGAATTTTTGTGCTAGATTAGCATCAGTTGGTGCGTCACGACTCCCTGGTTGGGGTCCGCGACATAGCTCGAATCGATGGTTCGAAACGTTATCGGATATGGCCAAGAATCGTAATCAATGGCGAACGTGTTGCAATTTCCTTCTTTCTTCCCTTCCTGATGATAGTTAACGAATACTGTTTGAACTTGTTAACCATGACTGTTTTCCTTCCTGATGAAGTTCTTTATTCGTTTTCTACATATATTTTTACTTTTAATCTATGTTGTTTTATTATTATTGTGTGGCGCATCTTTCTTGGTGCCATGTTGTACCAAGTTTTTCTG